CATTGCACTCCAGTCTGGGTGACAGAGTGAGACTCCAACTCAAAAAAAGAAAGAAAGAAAGAAAGAAAGAAAGAAAGAAAGAAAGAAAGAAAGAAAGAAAGAAAGAAAGAAAGAAAGAAAGAAAGAAAGAAAGAAAGAAAGAAAGAAAGAAAGAAAGAAAGAAAGAAAGAAAGAAAGAAAGAAAGAAAGAAAGAAAGAAAGAAAGAAAGAAAGAAAGAAAGAAAGAAAGAAAGAAAGAAAGAAAGAAAGAAAGAAAGAAAGAAAGAAAGAAAGAAAGAAAGAAAGAAAGAAAGAAAGAAAGAAAGAAAGAAAGACAGTCTGGGCCAACTGAATCTGTCTCTCTTGCCTATTATTTTTTTAAATTGCAGTTTACTCAAAAGGTAAACAAAAATCATTCATCTCTTGAAATTACATAAGCATCTTGTTCAAAAGAGAAAGTAAATTCTTTTGCATGAGTGTATTATTAACATCAAAGTTAATTTTAATAAAATTTATAAACAAATCTACCTAATTTAAATTAGTATGGAAAATAAGTTAAGATTTTTATCAATCTTATATAATCCTCTACAATTTTTTTTAAATTAAAGGACTGATCAATAAATGTTCTTAAAATCTCGGTTATTCTGACATAGGGGCCTAGATTCTGGCCCAGCTTCAGTGGGCTTAATTTATAGAAAACTAAATAACCCCTTTCAAATTTTAGCCAGCTTGATCATACATGAATTTCTCTTTTTTTTAATGAGTAATCTGCCATAAACTATGGAGAAATATGTGGTGCAATTAAATAAATTGTACTAAAATAAGTGACCTCAAAACAAAATTTTACCAAAACATTTACTGACCACAACAAAGACTATAAAAAACCTACTAACCAACTTTCAAACATTTGCTATTAGCTCCACAATAAAGCACACACAAAAAAATTAACCAATAACCGTAAGTTCCACAATAAACAAAAACCAGTTGACCATTACTGTTTATCTATTCTACCTTTAAAGCGAGGGTCCGTCGGTGGGCGTGGCTTGTCGGGTTAGCCCAAAGCCGGGGGCGTGGCCGAGTGAGGGGCGGGGCGGAATGCTGGACTCGCCCTGTGGGAGGGGCAAGCCCGGGGTCAAAAAGCGGTCCCTCGAGGCAGCCTCCTAGACCTGGCCCTGGGCCTGGGGGGCGGTAGGCGAGGGCTGCCATGGAGCCCGAGTGGGGCCCCCTGAGCGTGCTGGGGGCCGTCGCCGCCGCGTGGCTGCTGCTGCGGGCGACCTGGGAGCTGGGCCGCGGCGTCTACGTCTACCTGCTGCCCCGGGCGCGCCGGGGCGCCCCCTGGCTCCGGGCGCACGGAGCCTGGGCAGGTGAGGGGCGACCGGGGTGGGGGACGGAGGAGCCGGGAGATGCCAGGTGACAGTCCCCAAGCAGGGCGGGGGTCGGGTCACTGCGGGAGGCGAGAGAGGTGAAGGCTGGGGCCACCAGGGGAGGGGAGGCATGAGGTCCCCAACCGGTCCAGGTGAGGGGAGCAGGTGTCAGAGACCCGGCTAGAGGAGGGATGAGGGCAAGGCGTCTGGGCGGGCTGAGGTTGGGCCTGGGCACCCGGACAGAGCCTGCGGGAGAGGAGGCCGCCCCCTCCTGCCCGTCCTCTTTCTCCCCACCCCCCAGTAGTGACAGGAGCCACCAGCGGCATTGGCAAGGCCTACGCACACGAGGTGAGTTTGCGCGTGGAGTCTTGGGGCCAAGGGAGCCTCTCTGGTCTGTCTGTCGTCATCCACCCCTGGTGCACTGAGAATTGGGTGCTTTATCTGGTCCTCTCAGAGGGTCACTCCTCCAGGAAGCCCCCCTCAAGCGGGTATTTTCAGTGCACATCTAAGCCTCCTGTTTTCCCATTTTCCCGTATTTATTGGCCACCTACTGTGTGCCAGGCACCTACCAGGTACTTTGGACGTAGCCGTGAACAAAATGCATTCAAAGAAACCAAAAAGTCCTGCCCTCCTGGAGCATATGTTGTGGCGAGGAGAGACAAGTGTCAGGGGTGGGACCTGACCAGAGTGGAGTGGGCATGGGAGAAGAGCCAGCGAGATCGTCCTTTCTTGGAATGTTGAGTGAAGAACAGGGATGGTCCGAAATGGGGAAGTCCCTGGATGGGAGATGGGGTGATCACGGCGGGTGTGTACGCTGATGAGGAAACTCCAGAAGAGGGAGAAGTCGTGCTCCAAGGAGAAGATGGGAGAAAAGCCCTGCTGCTGTCCTGGAGTAGACAAGAAGTGGGGAGGAGCTGGTGGGAAGTGGAAGGAGAAGTGTGGTGTGGGGGGAGGGGACGTTATCTTTGGCTAGAGGCCAGTCGCTGGGTAATGATATCCACTCTGGCCATCACTGTCTGCAGACTGGTCTCTCACCCCCACTGGACAGTGAGGCCCCTCAGGACAGGGTTGGGCTACTTTGGCCAGTGCCACCTACTCTAGAGCCACCACAAAGTAGATGGCAAAGGGCTTGCTGAATCAATGAATGAATGAATGAACGCTCTTCACACCATCTCTTAGGATCTGCCTCTCAGATACATGGAGCAGTTGAGATGTTCCAGCACAGCCTCCCTCCAAAACCGTTGGACGCCCAGTCCCTATCACACATGACCCTCAGATATGCAGGCTGAGAGGGTCAGACATGCACTAAAAAGCTGACCAACCCCCCTCCACAAATGTGTGGGACCAAATAGGAAGAATGTGCCCCCCAAACTGAGAAGGAGCCAAGAGACCAAAGAATGTCTTGGACAAGTCCAGCTTGGCTAGTAGATAATTTATTTGGACTTAGATATTTGTCCAGTCTGGAGACCCACCCGCCACCACTTTCTAAACTACTTTTAACCTAATTCTCTGTCTCTTTTCCAGCTCTGTATGTGTGATGAGACTGGTTTTCACAGTATGTTCCCAGACAGGCCCTGGGATGTTTGAGTCTCAGAGACACCTGCTCCTTGGCTGGGCACTGTGGCCTTGGCTCACCGCTTGTTCTTCAGGGTTCAGGTAGTACACATACAGCCTTAAGTAGACTCATGGGGGACCTGTCACAGTACATCCTGTGTCCCCAGCATCATCTAAACACATTTTGAGTGAATATATGAGTAAAGGAAGGAACAAACACTTAAATTACTGGATTTTTTTGAGAGAGAGTCTTGCTCTGTCGACCAGGATGGAGTGCAGTGGCAAAATCATAGCTCACTACAACCTCGGCTTCAAGGGCTCAAGTTCCTCCCAGCTCAGCCTCCTGAGTAGCTGGGACTTCAGGTGTGCACTACCACATTGGCCTAAGGATTATTGGATTTTATATCCCTTAGGAGAAAAACCAAAGTCTCTACTGGGGCATTGGAGATGCTGTCATCTGGTCCCCTGTCCACCTCGCTGAACTAGCGTTCAACCAGCCTCCCTGAGTGCACGCTAGACTCCATGCTGTCCTCTAAGCGTCCAGACAGGGCCTTTGCATTGCTGTCGTGGCTCCCTGGATACTCCCGCATGCCCCACGAGGGCAGGCTTTTGTTTCTGTCTTTTGTTCCCCTCAGTATCCACAGTGCCTATGACACTGTGTAATCCGCTGTCGGGATACAGCCGACACGTGTTACTTCGTGAAGAAACGAATGAATGAATCCTCTGCAGCTCGCCCAGAGAGGCCTGAACATTGTCCTCATTAGTCGCAGCCTCAGCAAGTTGGAGCTAGAGGCCAAGGAGATAGGTGGGAGCCAGAAGCACCAGGCTGGGGGCGTGCCAGGACGGGGACTGGGGCGTGGGGCTGGGGTCGGAGTCAGGGTCTGGGCAGGGTCGGGGTCAAGGACCAGAGCTGGTGTCCAGACAACAGCAGAGTCTGGGACTGGGGTGGGGCTGGCAAGGGACAGGGACAGGGGCCGGTGGTGGGGAGGGGACGAGGGGTGGGACTGTTCTGGGCTGAGGAGTCAACTCTCTCTCCCCCCTCTTTCCAGAGCGGCTTCATGGTAGGAACACACGCGTCATCGTGGCCGACTTCACTGGGGGCTTGGAGATCTACGAAGCCATCGAGGCAGAACTGCAGGACCTGGAGATTGGAGTGCTGGGTGTGTCCCCATGTCTGCGTGGGGCAGCCCACCCTAGGCTGCAGCCATGCTGAAAGCCCCCTCATGGTCACCCTTTCTCCCACCCTGTTTCCTGGCACTGCTGGAGTGATACAGTCTTTCTGCTCTCACTCAGTGAACAACGTGGGCATGGTGTACTCAAGACTCCCTCAGAAACTGCTCAATGGTGAGAACGTCGCCAAAGTGAGTGAAAGCCACTGCCAGCCCTCCTGGTTCCTCTTCCCCAGGGTCTTTACTGCCCTCTGTTGGAAACCCCACTCAATACACTAAACTAAAGTCGGCCCGGGGTTTACTCGTTCTAGGACCTCAGTGGAGGTGTCAGTCCCTAATATAAAATGCAGTCATATTTGCATATAACCTATGTACATCCTCTTAATATTATTTTTATTTTTTGAGTGGAGATCTGATTCTGTCGCCCAGGCTGGAGAGCAGTGGCATCATCATGGCTCACTACAGACTCGAACTCCTAGGTTCAGGCAACCCTTTCCCTCAGCCTCCCAAGTATCTAGGGCTACAGGCATGCACCACGATGGCCAGCTAATTTTTAAAAATTTTCGTAGAGACCTAGGCAGCATAGGCTGGTCTTGAACTCCTGGGCTCAAGTGATCTTCCTGCCTTGGCCTCCCAAAGTGCTGGGATTACAAATGTGAGCCACCATGTCCCACCTGTTCTTTTTGAAGATTTGTTTGACTACTCGGGGTCTTTTAAATTCCACATGAATTTTGATAGGGATTTCATCAAACTTTTAGATCAATTTGGGTAGTGTAGTGTTGATGTCTTAACAACATTAAGTCTTCCAATTTATGAACACAGGATGTCTTTTCATCTATCTCTTTCTTCTTTAATGTCTTTCAGCAGTGTTTTGTAGTTTTTAGTGTACAAGTTACATTAATTCCTTAGTATTTTACTCTTTTTCATGCTATTGTAAATGGCATTGTTTTGTTAGTTTCCTTTTTTGGATTGTTCATTGTTAGTGTATGGTAACACAACTGATTTTTTGTGTGTTGATTTTATAAAATGCTAGTTTTTTAATTCTTTGGTTGGTTCTAGCAGTTTGTGTGTGGAATCTTTGGTGTTTTCTATGTATAAGATCATATCATCTGTGAACAGAAATTATTTGACTTATTTTTCAATTTGAATGATACTTTTCTCATATAATTTATCTGGCAAGAACTTCCAATATTATGTAATAGAAGTGGCAAAGGTAGAAAGAGTTTTGAGTCTTTCACAGCGAGTATAATGTTAGCTGTAGGCTTTTCATATACAGGATAGATGTTGAGGTAATTTCCTTCTATTCCCAGTTTGTTGAATGTTTTTATCATGTAAGAATGTTGGCATTTGTTAAGTGCTTTTTCTCCAACAGTTGAGATGATGGTGTGGTCTTTTTTTCTTCATCCTTTTAATATGCTGTATTATATTAATTGATTTTTGTTGAACCATCTTTGCATTCCAGGGAAAAAATTTCACTTGATCATGGTGTATAATCCTTTGAATATGCTGCTGAAGTCAGTTTGCTAGTATTTTGTTGAGGATATTTGCATCACTGTTCATAAAGGATATGTCTGTAATTTTCTTTTCTTTTAGTTCCTTGTCTGACTTTCATATCAGAACCATGCTGGCCTCATAGAATAAGTTGGGAGGTATTTTTGCTTCTTTCATTTTTTTTAGAGGAGTGGAAAATTGGTATTAGTTCTTCTTTAAATATTTGGTACAGTTTATCACTGAACTCATATGGTCCAAGGATTTTTTGGAGGATGGGGGTTTTTGATGACATTTAATCTCCTTGTTATGGATCTATTTAGATCTTTTATTTTTTTGTGATTCAGACTTGGTAGGTTTCATGTTTCTAGGAATTTGTCCATTTCCTCTAGGCTATCCAATTTGCTAGTGTGCAATTATTCACTGTACTCACTTATAATACTGTTTATCTCTATAGAATAAGTGGTAATGTTCCCACTTTCACTTCTGATTTTAGTAATTTGGGTCTTTTCTCTTTTTTTCACAGAACTAACTTGTTATTTTGTTGATTTTTCTCCATTGTTTTTAAATTCTCTATTTTATTTTCCTCTGCTCTAATACTTATTATTTATTTTCTTCTGTTAGCTTTGGATTTCATTTGTTCTTTTTTCTATTTCCTTAAATTGTAGAGCTGTTGATTTTAGACCTTTCTTGTTTACTAATGTAGCGTTACATCTATAAATTTGCCCCTTAGCACTGCTTTTGCTGAGTCCCATACTCTTCAGTATGATTTGTTTTCATTTTAATTCACTTCTAAGCATTTGCTAATTTCCTTTGTGATTTATTCTTCTCCTTCGCCTTCTTCTTTTTGAGTCAGAGTCTCACTCCGTCATCCAGGCTGGAGTACAGTGACACAATCATGGCTACCGCAGCCTCCACCTGCTGGGCTCAGGTGATCCTTCTGCCTCAGCCTTCCAAGTAGCAGGAACTACATACATGTGCCACCACATCAGCTCATTTTTGATTTATTGTAGAGATGAGGTCTCGTTGTGTTGCCCAGGCTGGTCTTGAACTTCTGGGCTCAGGCAATCCTCTCACTTTGGCTTCCCAAAGTGCTAGGATTACAGGCACAAGCCACCACACCCAGCAGAATTTCTTCTTTAACCCATTGACTGTTTAACAGCTATAGAATTTCCTTATATATTCTGAATATGAATCCCCTATCAGATATATTTTTTGAAATATTTTCTCCCATTTTTTGGGGTTGCTTTTTCATTGCCTGTAGTGTTCCTTAACATACAATAGTTTTTAACTTGATGAAGTCTAGTTTATTTATTTTTTCTTTTGTTGCCTGGGCTTTTGGTGTCATAGTCAAGAAAACCCTGCCATATTTGATGTGATAAAGTTTTCCTCTATGTTTTCTTTTAAGAGTGTTCTCATTTTAACTCTTACATTTAGAGCGTTGATCCATTTTGAGTTTCTCATATAGGCATTTATTAGTCTGTTTTGCATTGCTATAAAGAATTGCTGGGTAATTTATATTTTAAAATGACTTATTTGGCTCACTGTTCTGCATGGCACTGACATCTGCTCGGCTTCTGATGAGGCCTCAGAAAGCTTTACTTGTGGTGGAAGGCAAGGGGAGCTGCCAGGGGAGCAGGTGTGACACATGGCACAAATGGAGATAGGAGAGAGAAGAGGTGCCAGGCTTTTTAAACAATCAGCTCTCCTGTGTACTAATAGAGAAAGAACTGAAACATTACTGCAAGAATAGCACCAAACCATTCACATGGCATCTGCTTCCATGATCCTTCAACATTGATGATAACCTTTCAACATGATATTTGGAAGGGACCACAACCCAAACTGCATTTTATGTCTTTGTTTCATATATTTTGGACTTTGGGGGTTGTATAATTGTTGCATCTTGCTGAATTGACCCTCTTATTAAAATATAATGCCCTTCTTTGTCTTTTGTAAACTATGTTACACTTAAAGTGTATTTTGTCTGACAATAATACAGCCACGCTAACTCTCTTGGTTACTATTTGCATGGAATGCCTCTCCTGTCTTTTCATTTTCAATATTCCTGTATCTTTGTATCTAAAGTGAATCTTTTGTAGACAGCATAAAGTTGGGTGTTTTTTAAAAATCCAATCTGCCTATCTGTGTCCTTTAATAAGTGAGTTTAATCTATTTGTAATTAAGTAATTACTGATAAAGAAGGAATTAACTTTTATCATTTAGATACTTGTTTTCTGGAAATCTTACCCTTTCTCTTCTATTCCTCCATTATTGCTGTTAAAACTTTAGTTGAGTTTTGATAGTGTACCATTCGGGTTGCCATCTCTCCTTTTCTTTATATCTTAAAGTGATTTTCTTAGAATTACAATTAACATCTTAAGCTTGTAACAACCTAGTTTGAATAATACCAAGTTACTTTCAATTGTAGACAATTGCTTCTATACATATCTTTCCCTCCAGATTTATAGTTATTGTTGTTAGGGTCCGGATAGGGTGAGGGTGGATGGATGGAGAGGAGAGAGGTGCAGGGAGATGCAGCACAGCCAGAGCCGGCAAGCCGGACGTGCGTGGTGGCAACCCAGAGATCTGAGTAAATGCAAAGAATTGCAACACAGAAAGAGGTGAAAGAAGATAAGATTTATTTAAGAAAGCTTCACCCCCCACAGACAGGGAGCGGGCCTACACTCTAGGTGAGTGTGGCGACGTAACCCCCCAAAGCCCTGGCTTAAATCCTTTTCCTTGGAGATGTTGCAATCAGGTAGATGTGACTGCTGTGATTTCCTTATTGACCACCTGTGGATGTCTTGGAGAACCTGTGACACAGAGACCCACTAATGTCCACCCACATTATCATAGCCCCTAGAGAAGGGTGTGACAAGGATTCTCATTCTCCTACACCTTCTCCAATGACATTCCTTAGAGCTAATGGAGGGGTGCACCTCCCCTTATCTCCTAGGCATTCCCAGTGGGAGACTTCGGGGAATCCTTGGCTTCCCTGTAGATAGGGTCCAATTTACTGGAAGATCGAATCCCCACCCCCTCTCCCTCTGAGCGGTCATAACTTTTGTAATTAGAAGTTTCATGACTTTTACAGTCCTTGCCCAATGCATGATGTCTTAGGCTTTGTAAATTCCCTTTATTCTAGGCGAGCTTGATTGCCGCTATGAGATACCACTGATACCTGGCACCAGGAAGTCTGTTTCTGAAAAGACAAAGTTGGCAAAGTTAATTTTACCTAAGTAGGCATTTCTCCAAAAGCATAGCTTCTACTTTCTCATCATTGTGTCAGGGTTTAAGCACAAGATGAAAAGTGGCTTCCCACTCTTGGTCTGCCCTTTCAATTGTCACAGGTTATATCTTCATATATGTGTGCTCATAAGCATAAATAACATATATTTATATTTACTATTTTATGTATTTGCCTTTTTAAACATATACAAAAAAATCCAGGAGCTATAAACCAAAAGTACAATACTGTTAGATTTTCTATTTACCTATGTAGTTACTATTACCTGTTTCTTTATTTCTTTTTATGACTTGATTTCTATTCTAGTATTTTCTTTTTAATTTCAGCTTTAACAACTCTCTTTGGTATTTCTTATATGCCAAATGAAAAGAAGATCTACTGTCAGTGAACTCTCTTGGCTTTTAATTACCAAGGAATGTCTTATTTTTCTTTAATTCCTAAGGATAGTTTTTCAAGTCATAGAATGCTCAATTGATAAGTATTTTTCTTTCAGGACTATAAATTGGGAATTCCTCTGCTTTCTGGCCTTCATAGTTTCAATAAGAAATCTGTTGTTGATCTTATTGAGGATATTTTGTGATGAGTCACTTCTCTCTTGCTGCTTTTCTTTTTTTTTTTTTTTTTGAGTTAGAGTCTCACTCTGTCACCCAAACTGGAGTGCAGTGGCCGCTCCTGGCCACCGTAGCCTCGACCTGCTGGGCTCTGGTGATCCTTCTGCCTCAGCCTTCCAAGTAGCTGGAACTACAGGTGTGCACTACCACACCCAGCTAATTTTTGATTTATTGTAGAGATGAGGTCTCACCAAGTTGCCCAGGCAGGTCTCGAACCCGCGGGCTCAGGCAATCCACTCACCTCAGCCTCCCAAAGTGCTAGGATTACAGGCTGTGCTACTGAGCCCAGCCTCTCTTGCTGCTTTCAAAATGCTCTTTGTATTTGACTTTTGACAATTTGACAGTAAATTATCTCAGGTGGAGCTTTTTTTCCTTCCTCTTCTGACTGGATGCTTTCGATTTGCTTATCTTCAAGAGTGCTTATCTTTTCTTCTGCCTGCTCAAATGTGCTGTTGAACCTGCCTGGTACATTTTTCATTTTAGTTGTTGTGCTTTTAAGTTCTAGAATTTCTGTTTGGTCCTTTTTTATAATTGCTACTCTTTACTGATATTCTTATTATGTTTATGTATATTTTTCTGGTTCCCATTAGTTTTTGTGTATGATTCTCCTTAGCTGATAAAGCATATTTAAAACAGTTGACTTAATGTCTTTGGCTAGTAATTCCAATATCTCGACTTCCTCAGAGATGGTTTCTGTTGAAAGCATGTTTTGCTATGAAAAGCCATACTTTCCTGTTTCTTTGTATATTTTGTAATATTTCTTGTGGCTACATATAATGTTGCAAGGAACATCTTTGAACATATTCACTTTCCATGTATATGAGTATCTTGGAAAGGAACCAATTTCCAGAAGTTGAGTTAATGGGTCATTGTGTGTGTACATTTTAAATTCTATTAAGTGCTAGTTAGAAAAAAAAAATGTTGTATGTCTAAGAAAAAGTTAGGATATGGGTAAATGTGGGATGTGGCCGGGCTGGTGAAGGGAGAGAATGATTGGTTCCATTTCTTTCCCTAGCGCATCTCGGATATTGTCAACTGCAACATTATGTCTGTGGTCCAGGTGAGACTGGGCTAGGAGGCTTAGGTCAGGGTGGCTCTGACCACTCTGGGTGATCTTCAGCATCCGACAGCACTAAACCTGCCATGGAGGAGGTGCTGAGTGAGGGTAGGGGACTGGAAGTGAATTTGACAAAGAGAGGGCAGGAGTCTTGGGCAGGTGAGAGGATCCTCAGCAAAAACATAACCCTGCCCACCCTTCTCTACAGATGACTCGGCTCATCCTGCCCCAAATGGTCACCAGGTAAGAGACAGTCTCTTTGTCTTCCACCCACATTTTTTTTTTTTTTTGGAGTCAGAATCTCACTCTGTCTCTCAGGCTGGAGTGCAGTGGCATGTTCACGGTCACCACCGCCTTGACCTGCTGGGCTCAGGTGATCCTTCCATCTTAGCCTTCCAAGTAGCTGGAACCATAGGCATGTGCCACCATGCCTGACTAAGTTTTTGATTTATTGGAGAGACGAGGTCTCGCCATGTTGCTCAGGCTGGTCTCAAACCCCTGAGCTCAGGCAATCTTCTTGCCTCCGCCTCCCAAAGTGCTGCTACTCACATTTCTAATTCCTGCTTATCTGAAGTTTCTCAGATGAGAGCACAGGCTGAGAGGTGGGTGTGGTGGGGGGAGAGGTAGACCTTCTCTTCCCATTGGCCATGACCTCCAATGAGCGCTTACTCCTACAGGGGCAAAGGCATCATCATTAACATCTCTTCAGTGACTGATTCGCACCCCTGGCCACTCTTAGCAATGTATTCAGCCTCTAAGGTACCCAGAACCCCAAGACCTGAGGCCAGGACTGTGGAAATTTCTCCACTAACCCTTTATTCTAGTATCTGAGCTAATGGTGGAAACAAATCCTGAATGAAGGAAGGAAGAAGTGTCATGTGGCCCCTGAGTTTAGGGCTACTGCTGGGTCAGCCAGCCATCTGAGGCACAGCTCAGCAGGCAAGCCAGAATTGTTTTTAAAGAAAAATGGAAGATGAGAGTCAAGCAAATAACTGGGACTGGGAATGAGGTCAGGGAATTCTGAGACGGGCCCTGCTGGAGTGGAGAATGGGTGTATGGTGGTAGAGGGAAGTTGCGACCATGAAAGTGCTCAGGTGTTCAAGTGAGGCTGGGGCCCTCTGGAGCCATGGAGTGTTCCAGGGAGAGAGACAGTGCTGGGGCAAGGGTGGGCTGTGTGCCATTCCTGCCTCAGAGGGAAGGCTCTCAGTCCTGGGACCCCTTTCCTTCCTTCATAGGCCTTTGTGCGAAGTTTCTCCAAGGCGGTGGGTGCAGAGTACTTCCCTGAGGGGATCACCGTGCAGGTGCTGGACTCTGTGTGGGCTCAGAAGGGACATGGCAAGGGTGACAGCTCAATTGAGAGAGCACGAGTACTTAGAGCTGGCGGAGGCTCGTAGAGGAGGGGGCTGAGATGCTGTCTGAGGGAGATCGGTGACTCAGAAGGGTGTTAGTGGGGAACACTCAGAAGCCCTGGGTCCCCATGGGGGATGTGGTCCCATGGGAGGTGGTGGGGGGTCAGGCCTGGGAGGTCCCAGGGGGACCAGAGGAGGTGGTGAGATCCTGGGCCAGGAGGGAGGTAAGGGACATTCTTTCCTTTGCCCACTACCTTCCTGTAGACCGTGAGCCCTTTTTTGGTTGCCACAAACATGACCTCTCTTTTTAAACCTGGACTGCTGGTGAAGACTCCACAAGACTTTGCCCGGAAGGCCTTGGACACCCTTGGCCTGTCCTTGGACGTCTCCGGGTGCTTCAGCCATGCTGTGCAGGTGCCTCCGTGGGGGCATCACAGTCAGAGAGCTGGGTGGGCCATTCCCTGACCAAGGCCACTGGTCTTCAGGAGGAGAAAGAGGTCCCCCATGTGGGGCTGGGGAGGGAGGGAGAGGAGACACCCAAGAGACCTGACACCCCACTCCTTCTTCTCTCCAGGCTTTCCTGATGCCTTTCCTGCTTCTCTGGTGTTCTGTCAGCAGCCTCCCAGCATTAAAAGTGTTCTCTCTGTTAACAAAAAGGCATTGAGGAGGTGTGGCCACGATGCCTTCTTCTCCCTTAGAATCTTGGCTCAGGGCTGCTGATCTTAACAAAGACGCCAACAGAGATGTCTCACACGTCGGAATAAATGACAGGGTGGCCAGTAGGATAGAATGGGACCCCTGAGCACCTGGAAATTTTGTGATAAGGGCAGCATCTCACACCTCTGGCAGAAAGATAGATGTGTTCATATGTGCTGCTGATAACTTGATAGACATTTGGAGGGAAAGAATTTTAATATGAAATTGTAGTGGAGATGATTGTACAACTCTGTGAACATACTAAAAACCACTAAACTATATACATTAGAAGGGTTAATTTTATGGTATGCGAATTACATCCCAATAAAAATTTTTTTTTTTTTTTTTGAGTTGGAGTCTCACTCTGCCGCCCAGACTGGAGTGCAATGGCCGCTCCTGGCCACCGCAGCCTCGACCTGCTGGGCTCCAGCGATCCTTCCAAGTAGCTGGAACTACAGGTGCGCGCTACCATGCCCGGCTCATTTTTTGACTTATTGTAGAGATGAGGTCTCGCCAAGTTGCCCAGGCGGGTCTCGAACTCGTGGGCTCAGGCAATCCACTCACCTCAGCCTCCCAAAGGCTCAGGATTACAGGCTGAGCCACCGAGCCCGGTCCAATAAAATATTTAAAAAATAGAATCCTTCCCCCCTAATATGTATACAAGGTATACCTCCGACCATGCACCAGTATACACTCCAAATGAATCAGAAATCCCCATAGGAAAAACAAAACACAGCTAGAATACAGGAATGGATTTCTTTCCATCTTGAGACTGGATGAAACTTACTAAATAATACTGAGAATTAAATCAATAACAAAAATAACCACGAACACATATAGAACTCTAGTTAATAATATGCAGGCTGAATTATTTAGGGATAGTGTACTGATATCTGAAACTCGTTTTTAGCTTTTTTAATTTTTTTGACTCGGTATCAAAAAAATTTAAAAAGTTAAAACTCTGTCGTCCACACTGGAGAGCAGTGGCACAATCACAGCTCATTACAGCCTTGAACTCCTGGGCTCAAGCAATCTTCCTGCCTCCGCCTCCTGAATAGCTGGGACTAAGATGCAGTCCTCCATGCCCAGCTAATTTTTTGTAGAGATGAGTTCCTGCTATGTTGCCTAGACTGGTCTCAAACTCCTGGGCTCAAGCTATCCTCCTGCTTCAACCTCCAAAAGTGCTGGGATTGCATGCATGAGCCATCACACACAGTTGAAACTTACTCGAAATGCACTGAAAAGTTAGAGTTAAGGGATAGCTGTTTTATCTTGCCTTACAAATTTTAATATGTTGCAATTTCATTGTCATTGAATTTGTACTGTTTTTATTTTCCCTTGTGATTTCTTCCTTTACCTGTATATTTAGAGGTGTGCTATTTTAATTTCCAAATAATAAAAATTTTTACAGTTGTCTTATTGAAATTGCTAATCTAATCTTTTGGTTATAGGATATGCCCCAAGAGTTTAAGCCTTTTAAATTAAATGTAACTTGTTGTATTTTCCAGCATATGGTCTCTCTTTGTGCATGGTAACTCTTCCATGGGTACCATTAAACATAACGTCCATGTTGCAGTTAGAAATGTTATATAAATGTCCATTTACATGAAGTTGGTTAATGGTGTTGTGCATGTCTTCTATATGTCTACTGATTTGAAGTCTCTTTTTCCACCAGTTATTTAGGGCTCAATTTTTTAATTGAAGATATGTCTCTTTCCTTTCAGTTCTATCAGTTTTTGCTTTATGTATTTTGGAGTTCTGTTATGAGGTGCATATGCATTTAGTATTGCTATGTCCCCTTGATGAATTGACTTTCTTATCCTTATGAAATCTCCTGCTTTATCTTTGCTAATGTTTCTTGTCTGAAGTCTATTGTATGCAATATTAATACAGCCACTATGGCTTTCTGATTATTAGTGTTTGCATGTTTTTCTTTTATTTTTAACTTATCTTGGTATTAAAATTTAAACTGTCTGGACAGTATATAGTTGAATCTTGCTCTCTTACCTGTATGACATTTTCTGTTTTTTAATTGGTGTGTTTACTCAGTTTATGTTTAATGTACTTATTGTTATGTTTAGGTAAGTCAAGAACATCACTATTTGCTTTTAATTTTTCCGTTGTTTTTTTTCCTGCTTTCTTTTGGACTTTTGGAGCACATTTAGTATTGCATTTTCTCTTTTCCCACAAAAGATGAAAGTGAAGCAGACAATTGAAATCATACTCTCATAGTACCACTACAAGGCTATTATTACATGTGGAAAGCAAAAAGTATAAGAAACTGAAGTGTCAGAAGTGAAATATGAAATGTGAAGTGAGCTGGGTTCGATGGCTCAGCCTGTAATCCCGTGCCTTTGGGAGGCTGAGGTGAGTGAATTGCCTGAGCCCTCGGCTTCGAGACCCGCCTGGGCAGCGAGACCTTATCTCTACAATAAATCAAAAAATCAGCCGGG